CACATCTCTAATGTCGCAAGGCTGGATCAATACTAACAATGACACATCTCTGAATCAATACTATAATAAATTGCTGCTATACGTCTTTGATGTCACATTCAGTATGTACTAGATTGTTTAAGATGGGTATGTTGAACTCGAAATCGAATGAAATCATAATATTGAATCGCAATAAATTTCAAAATTTAAAATTGATGACATTTATCTATTTAGTTTCATTGCCAATAAGAACTCTCATGACGATGCTTGTTATCCGTTTACAAGCCTAATTGAAGATTTTTTTAAGTCATTAGTCTTTCTTTCTTACAGACTCAATCAAACCGAGTCTGCAATTCTTATGTAATTTTGTTGTGATTAATGCTTCCAAGGGATCACTTTGTTTCCAGAATTTTGAACTTCACAACAGCAGGTGTCAAGTGCTGTGTGGCAGCAGTAAAAAGTTGCCCGTACTTCACTTCAGTGTTGTTATATTTTCTGGTCCTTCGGGATCATTGATGCCAGCACTATTAAGTATTGAGAATTGAGTACCGCTCAATCCGGTGCTAGGGGCGTGAGACAATGTTGCACTTATTCATTAACTCGATCATACCGAGTCTGCTATTCTTATGTAACTTTGTTGTGATTAATGCTTCCGAGGGATCACTTTGTTTCCAGAATTTTTTTTCACACGAAATGTTTATGCACATCAGATATTATTATTGTATTCTTTAAATAACCCAATGCACTGCTGTTGTTGTTTTTTTCTTGACATAATATTAACCAAACATTTCAGATTCTAAATGCATATTTTCAAACAATTAAATTTTTATTTAATCCTCTATAAAAGTTTTGGCTGTGAAACTCTGACTTAAGTTCTGAGGAGTTATGATGTAATTCATGAATCCAATGTGTTGATCGAGGACTTTCCCAACTTAAGATCATTCATAGTCAAAAGTTTACAAAAAATCAGATATACTGCTCAAGAAATAAATGTTGTCGATATAATTTTATCGTAAGTTTGCATCGTCTTCGAATATGTTTTATTTCTTTGATTCAGTATTTTAGTAGTATTATTTTATGCCACGTTATATTTCGAAATATAGCTGGTGCACTATATATATATATATTGTTTATGTTAGTAACTTATTTTCAATGTAAATAAGATACATGTTCAAAGATTTGAAAATCGGAATCATTTGCGCATCTTTTAATTTATCGGGAAATATTCCTTACCCAATGCTATTATTTAATATGCTGGCAATAATTGGGGTTACAAAATCACCGCACCATATTATTATTTTGAGACCAAGTTCAATCGCTCTGGTAAATGTCGGCTTAAATATCTGATGAGTCTAAGTTTCAAAGGTCGTGATGTCAAAAGTTGTTTAAGGGTTAACAGATGTCAAGAGGTGAAGATGCCGTTGATATTTTTGGCGATAAAGATGCCGTAAATATTCAAATGATATTGTTTATTTTCTTTAATTTTGATCGCGTGTGATACTAACAGGACAGTGCACGGCGTTTTTTGTTGTTGTTTGTTTTTGTTTGTTTGTTTTTTTGTTTTTTGTTGTTTTTTGGCTGTACATAACATTTTAAATTATACAAGACATATTTGATTACACAATGTTTAATCGTAGTTACTGATACAATTAACCTTAATTTTCAATTTGAGCCCGTTAAGAGTTGTTCTCGACTGTCGGCATTAAATTTACCCTAAAAGCATTTATTCAGAAGTTTATGATATATAAAATAGTCTGAAGTTTTCACTAAGGAAATAAATGTTGTCAGCCTGACCTTTTTGCGAGGTAAAGTGTCTCGTTTTCTGTCTGGAAATCCAGATGAATATTAACACGATAAATAGTCATATGGGGCTCTGAACAATATAAAGTGAACAAGGTTAGCTTTTAAAAAAGCTAGTAGCGACTCGCTTCGCAATTTTTTTCCAGGGGTGCGTTTTAATGTAAAAATGACAGTTCTGTTAGCTGAAGAGACTTCAGCAAACATCAAAATAATAGTTATGGAAGCCAGTTTCACTCAGTTTAACAAAGAGGAATATGAGTATATATGAAGATGCATGTAAACAGATAGAATGAAGTCCCTATATGTCTATGCACATTTACTATATGGCCTTTTGACCTTGACCAAATAAATGTTAGATAGGTAGAATTCATAAAGATGTCTCTTTATACAAAGTTAAGTTGTAATATGATATTTAGTATTGGAATGAGTGACAGACACAAGTCCTAAAGTAAACACAAGTTGTCAATTAATTCAGCCAGAAAAGCCGGGATCCTATTAAAAATATAGGGATCCCTGGAATTAACCAGTCTTAGATGCTTTTCAGATAAGCCGGGATCCTATTAAAACATATAGGGATCCCGGGAATTGACCAGTTCAAGAATATAGTTTTCAGAAAAGCCGGGATCGTATGAAAGTATAAAGAGATCCAAGGAATTGGCCAGTTCAAGAATATAGTTTTCAGAAAAGCTGGGATCGCATTAAAACATAAAGGGATCCCGGAATTTGACCAATTCAAGAATGTAGTCTTTGATTTTTCCAATTAATTAGGCATATAATTATAAGTATTGTGATTTTTAAGTTTGTTGATAAACAGCTCTAAATATATTTATATCCAAAGTTTAATTAATTTAACGTTCATTACATACAATAAAAAACTTAACGTTTAATGGCCTTTCATTACGACAATAATCAACACAAATATAGTTTATAAGTTTTTCCTCTATATCTTATACGATCCCGGATCCCGGCCAGTCCGGGCGTCCCGTATCCCGGCCAGTAAATATATACACTAAATACCGGAAAGGATAAAATGACCGGAAAAAAGGAAAAAGAAAAAAATGCACAGAACCAGGTGTACACTTATGTTAATTAACCAAACGAAAACTTACTACAGAGGAACAGGTGAAATCGCTAAATCAAAAGTCAGTGTTAATATGATTTATTGAAAATAATTCATGAAAACAAACATTTTTAATCATCATAATATCTTTGCGCTCAAAACAATACTTGCTGCCTTTTAAATATGGCGTGAAAATTGAAGGTTTTTTGACGCTATGTAAGATTAAATTTGATTGGCTAAATAATTTTGGATCCTAGCCCTGATAGATAAATTTTTATAAAAAGCTGGAAGCCAAGCTTCGATTAAATTTTTGGATGGATTCGGAGTTTTAGGTTGTTTCTCAGTAAAATCCTACCGTAATACCGGCTCGCCGTGGCGAGCCGGCATAAAGCGATATATGTGCTGCAAAAAGATTATGATTTTGAAAATAAATACATACAAATAGCATGTTTGAAAGAAATATGATAGTCTATTGGCTTAAAAGCGATGAATCGTTGCTTAACGGTAAAATCCTTAAAACGACAGCATAATATTTTGTTCGAGAATAATGTTTTCTGTTAACGTGCTTTAGAAACTTGTGTGTGCCTGTGCAAAGAACAATACTTTACTTTTGTTGATGCTGACCGGATATGCGTGAGAATATAGTCATTCAATTTTATATTTAAAAAGACTAATTATATACAGTTTTGGGGATTTGGGGGATAAATATAAATTATCTGGATATAAATTATTAGATACAACTTTTGATTTTTAAAATTTTTCCCCCGCTATTCCGAAAGGGACAAAACGATTTATTTAAAATCACTGGCGTTTTTTTCATTTTTTATTAAAAAACCCCTTTTTTTGGGAAATTTTTTGTTAGTTTTTTTAAAGCCTACTTTTTTTTTATTTTTAAAATTTCAAAAAAAAGGGGTTTCAATCCCGTCTATTTTTTATATCTTAAAATATATGGGCCCAAATCAACGTATTTTGCCTAGGGTTTTATCCGCCCCTTAAAATTAATTTTAAATAATTTGTTTAGTTAAATTTTTTTATCTAAACACACACATTAAATGAATATATGAAAAATATTGTTTTTAAATTAATTTTATCGTTTACACAAAACTTTTAAAACTGAGTTTTTATAAAAAGGTAAATTTAGGTAAAACTCTCTTTCAGTTATACATGAAATCAATGAAGCAAACAGTTAGTTATCAACCAGTAGTTACAACAAAATAAGCGTTTGTCTATCTATCACCCTTGAAATTGTTCATAATAACGGATTTTATCAACTGATACAATGTAAGTGGTTGTTTTGTGTACAGTTTACTTTTTAGAAAGTACCATATAATGTAAATGTGTGTAACTTGTTATTCAAATTTGTCATTAATAAAAGGAGAAGAACATTTTATTTAACTTATTTATTTACATGTTTCTCGATATACATCAAAACAACCAGTAAAACATATAAAGCAATCTGTTACGGTTGGTATTTAAATGAAAACAGCAATAAATGTTTCCGTTTATACAAACTGGATAATAATTATTATTTAAGCAGCTCTAATAAGTATGGAATTAGATATTGAATTACAGTAATTTTTCACTAAATAAAGTATCTAAGTATAGGTTAGAGTGCATATTGGGTGTTCTTCGTAAACAAGAAAGCTAAAAAGGAGCGGAGGTTGCGAAACTTGGTTTGATGATTGTTCATGACCAGCAACTGACCCCTGTTCATTTTGGACATTGGAATCAAAGTTCAATGTCACATTTACCTTGTAGGTTAAAACGGTTTCCGAGTGATAACTAAAGAATACTGAAACATAGGAACATCAAACTTGGTATGATGATTGTATATGACTAGCAAATGACCCTATTGAGTTTTGGGTCAAGGGATCAAAGGTCAAGGTCACATTGACATTGTAGGTAAAAACGGTTTCCGATCATTAACTAAAGAACGCCTAGGCCTAAGAACTTAAAACTTGGTATGATGATTGTTCATGACCAGCAAATGACCCCTATTGATTTTGTCAAGGGGTCAAAGATCAAGGTCACATTGACCTTGTATGTAAAAACGGTTTCCTATCAACTATTAAAGAACTCTTAGGCCCAGGAAATTCAAACTTGGTTTGATGTTTGTTCATGACTAGGAACTGATTCCTATTGATTTTGGGGTCAAGGCGTCAATGGTCAAGGTCACATTTACCTTGTAGGTAAAAACGGTTTCCGATCAATAACTAAAGAACAGTTAGACCTAGGAATTTTAAACTTGGTATGATGCTTATTCATGACCAGCTAATGACCCCTAATGATTTTGGGGTCAAGGGGTCAGAGGTCAAGGTAACATTGACCTTGTAGGTAAAACGGTTTCCAATCAATAACTTGACAACCCATGGGATTTTTGCCCTCAAACTTTGTAGGTGCATTGGACTTGACCAGTAGATGACCCCTATTGATTTTGGGTTCAAGCTATGGGCTTTTGACCCTCAAAATTTGAAGGTGCATTGGTCTTGGTCAGTAGATGATTTTGGGGTCAGGGGAACAAAGGTCAAGGTTGCATTGACCTTGTATTTCAAAATAGTTTTCTATCAATAACTGGACAACCCATGGATCCTTGACCTTTAGCTTTACAGATTTATTGCTTTTGGTCATAAGATGACCTCACTTGATTTTTTGGCGTTAAGGGGTCAGACGTCAAGTTCACATTGACCTTATAGGCAACAACCCTTTCTTATTAACATCCCAACCAATAGGCCCTTTACCTTCACACTTCACAGGTGCATTGGTGTTGGCCAGTAGATAACCTCTATTGATTTAGGGACTAAGGTCAATGTCATATTGACCTTGTATGTAAAGACCGTTTCTGACCAATAACTCAACAACTCAAGTGGCCTTGGTAGACATAATTATTTTTTATTAAACTAAAAATCCTTTTGGTGTACACATTTCAAGGTCTTATGTTATATAACAACTTGGCTGTCATTAATTAGGCCTACATGATTCATAAAATTTATGCATATATTATTTGGTAAGATTTTATATAACTTTGTCAAAAAATTGATGCACACAACGTTTGCGGTCACACGTACTTAGTGACTAGTCATGACCAGCAATTAACCTGATATTTTGGTCACGAGGTCAAAAGTCAGTCTTATAAACTGATCACATGACTTATTGGCTGCCGATAGGGGGCAAATACATGTTTAACAAACATATCTTGTTGATATATTAGGGAGGTTTGGCGAATAAATATAAATTATTTGGATATAAATTAGTTGTTGACATTTCTTTGAACGGCATCTGAAGGACAAAGTCATGCAACTTTTATGTACTGGCTGAAAAAAATCAGTCTTGTTAGTGTATAAAGCCCATTTGGTTATCTTTTTGAAAATTATTCGACCAAGTTTGGTCTAATACAGTCTATTTTATATCTTAAAATATATCGGCTAATCAACATAAACAATAATATTCAAAACAATTGAACCCGTATAATCTAAAACTACTCATAAATAGAAATAATTAAGAATCTATAATTGCTAATTATTATAAAAAGGTGTTTTATTCTGTCTCAAAGGGCCCCCTTTTCTATTACCACTTTTGTTTTTGAAGAATTTACTGTAAACCCCATAGCCTAAGAGCTTAGAGCAATTTTATCAAAACTTTTGTCAAATCTGAAAATTACAGCGGAGCAAGTATATAGCATGTTTGAAAGAAATATGATACTCTTTGCCTTTAAAGCGAACTGTGTTTGTAATGAATCATAGCTTAAAGGTAAAAATTTTTAAATCCTTAAAAAAACAGAATGGGATTTTTTTCGAAAAAAAAATTTAAATTTTGGTTACGGGGCCTAGGAAAATTGTGTTCCTGTGCAAAGAAAAAATATCAAACCCTTTTAAAAACCCCCCTTTTTTTTGTTGGGGTGACGGATTTTTACGGGGGAAAATTTTTAGTATTTCAATTTTTTTTAAATTTAAATCATTATTTTTAATTTGGGGGGGGGGGGAATTTTGGGAAAAATTTTATATAAGTTAAAAAAAAAAACCCAAAAATGGGGCAACCCCTTTTTTAAATTTTGGGAGATTTTTATTTTTTATATAAATATTGGGATTTTTAAAGCCATTATTACTGGTTTGTATTTTTAAAAACCCCGCCCGAAGGGACAAAAAAATTTCTTTTTATTACTGGGCTTTTGTTTGTATTTAAATTTAAGGGCTAATATTTAACAACTTCTTGTTAGTATATAAATCCGGCAATGTTATATTTTGAAATACATTCGACCAAGTTTAGTCTCATACATTCTATATTCTATATCTTAAACAAAAATCGGTCAATCAACTTATTTTGACCTTTTTACAGCATTTATATGGAAATGAAATTTGTTGAGTTGATATTTTAGTGTAACTGTATGAAAAGTCTGTACTTAAACATTTATTGATATTTTATCGTTTCACACTAACTATGAACTGAGTCGTGATAAAAAGGTAAAATAAAAATCTCTTTCAGTTGTACATAAAATCTATGAAGCAAACAGTTGGTTATCAACCAGCTGTAGTTACAACAAAATAAGCGTTTGTATATCTATCTCCCTTGAAAGTTTTCACAATAACGGATTATATCAATAGTTAAGCGAAAACAATGTAAGCGACTGTATTACATTGAGAGTATTCAGGTTTTCGTGGAAATTCTTTTTTATTCCCTATCTTTTGTTGTTGATAACCACAAGACTTCACCATTTATACCTTGATAATGATTCGCGTGATTACTGAAATAGTAAAATATCTGTTCAATACTTTTCATGCACCGTAATATTGTGGTATATGTTTAAAAATGTTAATATGACTATTGAAATGTCAATCTAATACAACGCATGTACTTTTTATCATTATTAATTTCCTTTTTCCTTCTATCTTAGTTTATGTTTTTCTTAAATACTAAACCTACCAGTCTTAATTATATTTTCACTATTTTATGTCTATCCAGTGACAATTTTTATTTTGATAAGAAAACAACAAAAAAACAAAAAAAAAAAAAAAACAAAAAAACAAACAACAACAAAAAAACAGCATTTATAAGTTTTTTTAATAAGTTAAAACAAATACATGAAGTGATTAAGTTTATAAATTATTAAATGTTCAATGTGTCATCAATATGTTCATGTGTTTGGGATATTGAAATACATGTTTGAAGTTCTAGCTTATGATAGTTATAACGAATGTTTTATCTTTCTGATACTATTTTTGTACTGTTTTGTTATCCTCTTACCTTTAAATAATTGATATTATATTGATTAATAAGAACAAATGCTTGCTTTAGAAAGTAGCTTGTCTTAATAACAGCTTGCCTATGCAATAGTGTAACATACTTATAAACTGCTTTACGGATAAATGTATATAGAAATTTGATAAAATGAATTAAATTTATTGAAACCTTTTAAAAATGAAACATTCAAACAATAAAAATAAACTTGATATTGTCAGAAAGATTATATACCAAAGTTATTTTGATATTTTGGACCTACTGTCACATTTTGTCATTCTGATTTGTCTATGACATAATTCAGTTCATGCGTTCATGCAGTAGTGTCATTAATGGCATCATTTATAAGGTTGCTCAAAAATGTTAAAACAAAGCGATAGGTAAAGCCGCATATGAAGCTAAAGGGACATGTGCAAGACATGAACATACAGACAAAGTCATTTATTAAAGCACGTCTCGATAAGATCATCAGTAACTGAAGTGACTATGATTTTATCGTTTATTGACTCCCAATATGCAAATAAAAATTGAATTCTAATGATTTCTGCTGTTTCGCTTTATACCTCGATGACACCATTTCCACGAAAAGTGACGGTGCGCTTGATTGGTCAAATCGTTTAATAATGGAATGGAACATAATACCGTTTCTTTCTAACAAAAGGCCCCCATGTTTTTAAAATTTTGGTTTTTAAAAAATTTTTTTGTTTTCAATTTTAAAACCTCTTTTTTTAAAATCCCCTCACAAAATTTTCCAAAATTTTTTTGGTTTTTCCGGCCCATTGTTTCCTTTTTGTTTTTTTAAAAAATCCAAAATTTTTTTAACTTTTTTGGGGGAGCCTATTCGGTTTTTTCCCAAAAAAGAATACCTTTGAACGGTTGTTTTTTAAAATTTCATGGAAAAAAAACCTCCTTAAAAGGAAAAAACCCCTTTTTGCCAAAAATTTTTTCCAAAATTTGAAAAAAATTTTTTAACCACATTTTTCCCGTTTTTTAAAATTTTTTTTGAATTTTTTTTAAAAAATTAAAGCCGGTTTTTTTTTTTTCTTTTT